TGAGCATTTTTTCATGTACTTGTTGATTGATTATATGTCCTCCTCTGAGAAGTGTCTGTTCAGGTCCTTGGCCCATTTGTTGATTGGGTTATTTGTTTTCTTATTGTTTAATTTTTTGAGTTCTTTGTATACTCTGGATATTAGGGCTCTATCTGAAGTGTGAGGAGTAAAGATTTAGAGCAGAGTTTTTTTTTTAAAAAAAATAAAGAGTAGAAAAGAGTGGAGAAAAATCAGTGAAACCAAAATTTGGTTATTTAAAAAGATCTGCAAGTGATGCTTGGTGGCACACTCTTGTAATCCCAGTGACTCTGGAGGCTGGGGCAGGAAGATCTCACGTTTGAGGCCCTGTCTCAAAATAAAAAAGTTAAAAGGCTGGGGACATGGCTCAGTGATAGAGCACCCCTGGGTTCAATCCCCAGAACATCTACTACTATACTAGTAATAATAATAAATAAATTAAATTAAATAAGAAGATTCACAAAAGGGACAAAACTTTAAGACCTAAATAACCAAAATCATAAATGAAAATGAGAAATATAGGTGAATTTTCAGAAATCAATAGGACTCAGAGAGAATGCTCTGAGTAGGTGTACTTCAACATATTAGATCACATAGAGAAAAATGGATAAATTCTTGGAAACACACCAAGACTGAATTGTGAAGAACTAGAGGTTTTCAACAGTATTACAGCTAACGAGGAGATTCAATCAGGGAGCCAATGCCTTCTAACAAAGAAAATCTCAGGACCAGGTGGCTTCCCTCGTGAATTCTACCAAACATTTAAATAAGCACTATAAATCCTTTTCAGATTCTTCCAAGAAGTTTGTGGAGAGGAGGAAATCCTTCCCAGTTCATTTTAGAACAAAATTAGAAGCCTCAAACTAATTGATTTCCAAAAATTTTACAAAGCTACAGTTCTCAGAACATTGAAGTACCAAAGTAAAGAAGAGACAGACCAATGGGATAGAATAGAGAGCTCAGAAATAAACCCTCCAACATTTGGTCACGTGATTCTCAACAAGGGTGCCAAGACCAACAGATGGTGGAAAGGACAGTCTTTTCATGAGATATTGCCTTTTACCTTACACCATAGATGAAAGTCAACTCAAAGTTGGTTAAGGACCTAAATGTAAGAGCTAAGATTATAAAACTTTTGGAAGAAAACAAGGGAAAAGCTTCACTATATTGGACTTGACAATGATTTTTTTAAAGTATAACATCAAAAACACGGACAACAAGTAAAACTTGATAAATTGGACTACATCAAAAAACAAAAACAAAAAAACTTCTTTGCCTCAAAGAAAAAGGACACATTTGATGGAGAAAAACAACCTACAGAATGGGAGAAATGAGATAAAAGGTCAATATCCAGAGTTTGTTTTATAAAAAACACCTGTAACGTAGCAATAAAATAAACAAACAGTACAATTCAAAAATAAGCAAAGAGTATGAATAAGAAATTTATCCAAAGAAGATATACAAATATCCAACAAGCACGAAAATAGATGTTTAATACCACGAATTGTTAGGGAAATACAAATTGAAACCACAAAGAGATGGTCTGTCAAAACATGAATAACAGATTTTGGTGAGGATGTGGAGAAATTGGAACTTTTGTGCCCTTTTGGTGAATGTATAAAGTGATGCAGACACTATGAAAAACAGGAGGACAGTTTCTTGAATAATTAAAGATAGGACTGCCATGTGATTAGCAATTCCACTTCTGGGTATAGATCCAAAAGAATTGTTTGATTTGGTTTTTGCAAAGCTAGGAATCAAATCTAGAGCCTCAAACATGCCAGGCAAATGCTCTACCATTCAGCCACATCCCCAGCCCTTAGCAAAAGGATTGAAAACAGTCTTAAGGAGTTTTTATACATGTTATGTCCATGAGTTTTATTCACAATAGCCAGAGGTAGGATCAACCCACTTATCCATTAATAGATGGGTGGATAAACAAAATGCATATACACAGAAAGGAAATTTTAGTGTATGGTACAATGTGAGTGGACCATGAGGATAGTTTGCTAAGTGATATAAGCCAGTCATGAAAAAATAAATTCAGTATGATTCCACTTATATGAGGTACCTAGATTACTCAAATTCACAGAAACTGAGTAGAATGGTGGTTGCCAGGGTGGAGGGATGGGGAATGGGCAGTGGTTCCATAGACACATACTTTCCATTTATCAGAATGAAAGAAGTTCTGGATATTGGTTACACCAAAGTTTGAATGTGTCTAGCACGAATAACTGTACACTTAAATGATTAAGATGGTAAATTTTATGTTTATTTGACTACAATTTTTAAAAAGTGTATTTGTGTCCATGAGAGAGACCAAGAGGGAGACAAAATATTCCCATTAAGACAATAGAGTAGAGGTTGCAATTTCTGATGGAGGGAATGTGATTTTATTCTTGTAAAAACTTTCCTGTACTTTTCCATATCTGAGTAAACAGTGTTTTTTAATAAGTGAAAGAATAAAGGGGTTTTTCAAGTGTGTATCACTTGTCTAGCCCTAAGAGGCATAGATATAATCAAATGGCTGAGAGTTTTATAACTGGGAGGAAGATCCAAATTGTGTTTGGTTTTGGAAGCTGGGGTGGAGGGAGGAATGTGAGATAGATCTTACGATGGGTGAAATCTGGAAGCCACTCATGCTAGTTCCTGCTTTGTCCCCATAGGTCCTACTTGAGCCAGCCACTGGTGCTAGAGCCTATTCACCAGATGACCTGAGGAAAATGGAGTTGAGACTTTCAGAAGGATGGTGTCCTGCAGGTACATTCTAAGATTGAACTGTAATTTTATTTTTTTATTTTTTTTGTAACAGGGACTGAACCCAGCAGCACTTAACCACTAAGCTGCATCACCAGCCCTTTTTATCTTTTATTTTGAAACAGGATCTTGCTAGGTTGTTTAAGTATTTATTGATCCTTTGCAACATCCAGGGTTATGAAGATTTTATCCCCAGGTTTTCTGCTTGTTTAGTTTAGTAGGCTTTGCTCTTACATTTAGGTATTTTATTCACTTTGAGATAATTACCGTATGTAGTGCCAGGTAAGGATTCAACTTCTTCCTCTTGTATGTGGCTATTCCAGATGCAGTTGTCCCAGCACAATTTTTTTTTTAAAAGACTGTTCTTTCCCATTGAACAGTCTTGGCATCCTTGTTGAAAATCAGTTCAATGTGAATGTGTGAGTTTATTCTTGGATTCTCCGTTCTTTTCCATTTGTTTGTGTCTATCCTTTTGCCAGTACCAACTTGTAGTATGTTTTAAAATCAAAGTGTGATTCTTCCTACTCTGCTTTCCTTTTCCAGGATTATTTTGGCTATACTGGGTTCCTTGAGATTCCATATGAATTTTGGAATCACCTTCACAATCTCTATAAAGAAGTCAGCTGACTTTCTATAGGGATTGCGCTGAGTCTGTAGCCCAGTTTGGAGAGTATTGTCATCTTAACATTGTTGTTAAGTCTTTCAATCCATGAACATGGTATGTTTTCCCATTTATTTTAGATCTTCTTTAATTTCTCAGCAATTTTTTAAAAATTTTTTAGACAATAAACTTTGCATTTATTTTATTAAATTTATTCCTAACTACTTAATACTTGTTGATACTATTGTGAATGGAATTTTTCTTAGTCTTATTTTGGGATTGGCCATATTGTGAGCATACAACAATACAGTTGATTTTTTGTGTGTTGATCTAGTATTTTATAACCTTGCTGAACTTACATATGTGTAAGGTTCTTTCCATCCATTCCTTAGGGTTTTCTGCCTATAAGATGGTGTCATTAGTAAACACGGCTTTTATTTCCTTTTCAATCTGGATGACATTTATTTCTTTTCCTTGCCTAATTGCCCTGATGAGAACCACTAGCACAGTGTTGAATAATCAAGTAGCAAGAACAGATAGCTTTGGGGTGTGGCTGCCTTCCCAACTGGTTTGCTAGCTGAAGTCTAAGGGCCTGGCTTTTTGAAACCTCTTCCCTGCCTCTGTTTTTGTGTCTTGCTGCTTGAAAGGTCTTCTCCGTTTCCCTCCCTTCCTGGGGATCTGATGCACGCCTATCAATCTCCAGGGTCCTGTGGTTAGCCACCCACACCACCAGGCTCTGCTGGTTCCCGGACTTTGGTAACCAAGCAGCCGGGTGCTTGTCCGGGGCAGTTTTATTCCATCGACTGAAGATTCTCCTCTCTGGCCCCGACTGGCATCTTCCTCCCGGTTACCATTCGAATCTCTTGTCAAGGTCACGGTCTTCCCTTTCACCTGTTGGCACTGCCTGAACTCTGAGTCTGCTGTCATCAACCTCCTTTTCCTCAGATTCTTTCTGCTCATCTTCATCCTTTGTCGCCGCCTTGGCAGTGATCGCTGAGCCGCTGTCCTACAGTCGCAGGACAGCCACGCTCCATGTCGCTCACACTGCAGGAGGTGTGCCCGCCTGGCTCCTGTGGCGATGGCCACAGCCTCCTCAGCCCCCTTGGCCCCAGTGTGTGGGACAGTGTGTGGGATGGGCGGCTGCCCTGCATGCTGCTGGCTCCAGGCACCGTCAGCCTGCTAATGCAAGCCGATGCCTGTCGCTGGGACACAGACACAGTTGGCCACCTACTGCAGCGTAGCGGAGCCTAAGGATCCAGGCAGTAGCAGAAGTCCGCCAAGCACTCGCTGGGTTGTCCACCTCTTCCTTGAGTTGGTTTCAGTAGTTTGTTTTTCTAACAAGTTGTCCCAAAGTTACCCAATTTGGGATGTACCGGGGTTTACAGCATACTTAATACTTTTTTCAAATTCTCATATTTTCAGTCTCTTCCCGTTAGTGCCTTAGTCAACTATGTTCAGAGAACCAGCTTTTGATTGCATTAATTTCTTTCTTCCCTTACTGGCTGGTGGGCTGGGGATCGAACTCAGGGCCGCACACCTGTTAGGCAGGCGCTCTGCTGCTGAGCGCATCCCAGCCCTGGTCTGATTGATGTTCTCCATTGTTTTTCTCATCTCTATTTAGTGCATTTCTGCTCTATCTGTATTATTTCCCTGCCTTCTCACTTTCTTCACCTTTATTGTGCTTCCTTTTTCAGTCTCTTAAAGTGGAATACTAGGTGATCCTATGATGTGACCAAAAAAAAACAAAAAAAACAACCCTAGATTTTGAAGGCTTGGTATTTAAAAAAATAATAAACTATCTCACTATTATATACTGATTATAATTCATTGGACTCTTTACTTTTTACTGTGGATACTCTAAGTCAGGATTTCTTGTGTGCCTTGTATTGGGCTTCTGTGGGGTGCTGGGCTAAGTTGTATAGTAGGTACAGAAAGGATGAGCTGAGCCAGATCAGGTAGAGTGGCTGTCCCTGTTTAGAGTCTCCTGTTGGAGAGGGAATTCCTCTCCCCACTGCCAGCTGCATGGAAATTCATTCACGGGCTTTTCTCTCCAGGCTATTACCGAACTGAGACTGGGGCTTGCGAGATGTGCCAGGAGGGTGTGGACTACACCAACCATTCCAACAACCTCTCTTCCTGCATCCCCTGCAGCGTCTGTAGAAACGGTACACAGCAAGCGGGCCCAGGGAGGGTGGTGGGCTGGGACTCGGATTCCACGTGGACTCAGAAACCTCAATTCCAGCCCAACTTGGTCTTCTTTCTGCCCTGCCCCACGATCATCTTTGATTCGATGAAACACAATTTTTTAAAAATGGAAATTTAACATATAATGCATGCCGCTTTAGGAGGTAGTCATTTAAAACAGCAGTAGGGAGGGAGGAGTAGGAGATTAATCTGCTCCCTGTGGAGGGGCTCCTTCACCCCCTCAGAAGCATTTTGGGGCAGTTGCTACTGCTGACACTGTCCCTTGATTTGTAAACGTGGCAAACACTTGCTGAACATCTGCCCTGGGACAGGACAGGTACAGAGTGCACTGGGGCTGGCTATGAGAGGACATTTCCCTGGAGGTGTCCTAAGAGGACTGAGCAGGTGACTCCAGCTACAATAAAGATAAGGACACTAGACTCCATAGACCAGGGCACATTTGAAAAGGATGTTGAAGGACAGATTCAAGGATTCCAAGTGGTAGATGGAGAACATCTCTCCTAGAGAGCCTCATGCATTCAGGAGAAACGCCTGATTCAGTTCTGGGTCTGCTCCGAGTCTCCTGTCCTGTGCTCGGGATTTGGGGGTCCACTGACAGATTTCAGGTCACCACCTGCTTTGTTTTTGACCAAGATCCTTCTGAACATACAGGGGAGGGCAGAGGAGGAACGGAAGTCAGAGATGCAGGACAGAGTGGAGTGGAGAGAGGCCTCTCTGAGCCTCCCCTCTGCCCTGTAGTCAGCCTCCGGCTGTGAGGGATCATGCTGTGTTCTGTCCCACCCTCAGGCTCCTTCACTTCTTCTCGGTGTGGATTACTTTCTCTTCCCATGAGTTAGACCCTTCCTGACCTCAGGCCTCCCATATGTTAACCTTCCACATAAACTCCAACACACATTCTGGTCTCCACTTCTTGGATCTACTGAAACGTTTAGGTCTGTAGCCCAAGAACATAAGTGACTGATGGAAAAGGTTGGATTTTGTCCTAGTCCTGAGCCAGGTTCTCCATCCTGTGCTCTGACTTCCTGACAGGGGCACGATGCTCCAGCCTCCACATCGCAAGGCCCCTTCCTTGCACCTGACCTTGGGATCTAAAATTTGATGCATTAAATAATAAACTGTATTCTTCTATGTGACTCCAAATACAGGTGACAGCATCTTTATGCCTGGTACTCTGTTGCTGCAGGACCGGGCTGACTGGGGCGGGGGGGTGCTCATGTGGAGAAGGACGGAGGAGTACCCCGGGAAATTCATCCCCAAAGCTCTTCCTTCATTTCCAGATAAAGAACAGAAGGGTCCGTGCACCACCACCAGAGATGCAGAGTGCCAGTGTAAACCAGGCACCTTCCAGGATCAAAACTCCCCTGAGTTCTGCCGAACGTGCTCGGACCGGTGAGATACTGGAGCTGGGAGCTCCCAGCAGCTCAAGGGAAGCCGTGGAAGACCTGACTATTTTAGTACCCCTTTCTCTTCCGGCCCCTCGGAGCCCCCCAACCCCTCAGGTGTCCCTTGGGAGTTTCCTGAGCCTTCAGTGTCCCTTTCTGGTCCTTCTGCACGTCCTCCCACCTGCGCTCGCAGTGGTCCCTTCCCACCCATCCTTTTCTCCCAGGACTTGTTCACTGGCCGCAGGAGGCCATGATTCAGGGCCCATAGTCCTTTTGAGGGCCCCAGGATATGCTTGAATTCTTTTTGGAAACAGAAGAATGGGTGGAATTCAGCCAGGCTTCTGTTCATTTATATCCCAAGTCAGTAACAAAAATGTCATTTTCAATCAATTTTTGTGCATCAGAAGCCCATGAAGACAAAAGCTCCCACAGCCCAGAAGAGGCATGTTACGGTGGTGTGTGTGGTGCCCTTGAGGCTCCCAAGAAGGCCCAAGCCACTTCTGCCGGCCTCACCCTAGACTCCTGGCCCTTCAATAACACGTCTTGTTCCTATTTGGGGCTCTCTGGGCCCATAGTTAATTTACTCTTCTCTCATGCTGGGTGTTTGCTATGCTTGGTAAGAAGGTCAGACAGGAAGGTCCGAGGAAGCTTAGTTGTGTTAAAGGTTAGCAGGAGGCTAGGCTCAGCTGTGGCTGCCTGGGCTCCTGCCATTGCCCCAGAGTGAGATCCCACCTTGCTCAGTAGCCAGGCCATGCAGCAGCACGCTGCAGAGAAGGCCCCTAAGGCTGCACCTCCACTCAGAGCTGGGATTCGGAGGGATGGAAAGGGATGTGCTCAGGTCCTTTCCCAGACTCAGGGGAGAGTTAGGGGTTGGGGGTCCCTGGAGATACAAGGAGCCTGTCCTTTCTTTAACACCTTCTCAGGGACATTAGGCAGAGAGGGTGGCTCCCTCCTTCATGCTGTCTGGCCAGCCTTCCCTCACATCTTCCTGTTGTTTCCTCTCTCTGCACCCAGCTGCCACGGTGAGATGGTGGAGGAGAGTCCCTGTGTCCCCTGGAGTGACCGCAAATGTGTCCACAAAGAATCAGGTACCAAGGCCATCAGGGAAAGCCCGGCTTCTGCAGAGCCAGTGACAGCCAATGGCAGCACTCCTGCCTATGTCCATCCCTCCTCAGACGGCACAGTCACATATGTCCTGCTGGGTGTGTTTCTGCCTGTGGGTGCTGTCGTCATTCTTCTGCTTTGCATTACGTGGAGGTTTTTAAGGAGGAACAAGATATTCACTTGTATAAAGAACATCTTTCCAAGTAAGTGTTGGCTGGGGGTGGGCATCCGAGCACCCTGCCCCCCATCCTGCTCCGTTCCCACACACAGAAATGCCCTCCCCAAATCCCAAAACTGTGACCCTGTCATCTCCCACCTCATGGCACCTCGTGATCACCAGGATCCCACGAGTCCCTGTCTAGGGGCTGACCGGCACCTCATCTCTCAGCCTGGTCCAGGTGGCAGTGCCCACCAGGCAGAAGTGTGATCTCTTTGACTAGGAACAAGTTAGGGTGACAAGTGCTCAGGGGCTAGACAGCTGTGGGCAGGGCAGAGCCAGGCAGACTGTGAACATGTCTCCCCATTTCTCCCCTGTGCTGTGTCCAGGTCCCCAGCCCAGACCGCCCAGCACTGCCCTCAGGGAGGTGGGTGAGGCCCCTGCCCATGCGCTAAGAGGATCCCTTTCTCTTCCAGGCCATGGACAAGACTCTCAGCACATGGACACAGTGAGTGGTCTCCCCTGTGCTTGGAGTCACTGAGCAGCACAGCCTGGGAAGGGCCATCCCTGTGTGTCCTGTGATGCTGCCCTTGCTCTCTAAAGTGGCCTGGAACTCTGGGCCAACTATCAGGGGCAAACGGCCATTATGAGCTCCCTCTTGGCCCGTGGACCATACTGCTACCCTGTCCTTCCTGCTGCCTGGGACACCCTCTGCCATGACCTTGCCCCTGGGGGTGGGGTCACTTAGGACTTTGTCATTCTCCTTGGCACAACCCTAGGACCTTGGTGGCAGCAACAGATCATGGATGTCTGAGCCTGTGCCCACCTGGGGTGACCCCACTGAGAGGGGGTGAGGACCTGGTAGGGAGTCCTAGGTGTGGGCTCCTGAGTGGTGTCTTTGTCTTCCCAAGGTCTCTGTCCCAAGGGAGCGTGAAGCTCAGGACAATGACCACAATGAGATCCTAGCCAGCACGAACTCACCATCCACCCTGGACTCTGAGCAGCCAAGGAATGGACAACAGCTGGTGACCCGTGTCACTGAAGAGTTCCCAGAGGAGGAAACAAGTCTGCTGGTGAGTGGGGACAGGCTGTGCCAGGCTGTAGACGGGGAGAGTGGGTGTCATCCTGAGGGGAAGTGGAGACTGAGGGAGGAAAGGGACTGTCTAGGTGGGGCTGCACCTGATTCACGAGTTGACTGAGCCACTCTGGAACACTCTGACACTTCATCTGGATCTCTGTCATGCTCAGGCTGCATCCCCAGAGCCTGGAGCCAACAGGCACAGATGGAGCACTGTGGTATGGGTTGAGGATCGAACCAAGGCTGAGTACTTGTCATCAAGTACTTATTTTTTTACTTGTAGATGGATACAATGTCTTTATTTATTTATTCTTTATGTGGTGCTGAGGATCGAACCCAGGGCCCCATGCATGCAAGGCAAGTGCTGAGCTACAGCCCCAGCCTTCGTTTTGGTTATTTTTGATTCACCAACAGCGTTTTGTCCTAGGATCTTTGTAAGAAGATGTATTCCCCCGCCCGTACATTTTTTCCCATGTGGATAATAGAGGCCTAATTTCTTATCCTTTCATTTGGTGTGAAATTTTCATGTGTAGACGTTTTCATTTATAACTAGTGAAATTGCTAGATACATTAACTTTGTTTTTGCTCATCAGCTTAAGAAGTTTAGGGGATTGAACCCAGAGCCTTGTGCATGCAAGGCAAGCACTCTACCAACTGAGCTATATCCCCAGCCCCTTGCTCAACATAAGAAGAAACCCTCCCATTTCCTGGGAAGAAATTTTTTTTCAAGAATTTCCTTTTTGGACATTACAGTATAGTCCAAGTGGAGTTTCTCTTGCAGTACCATAAGAAGTGTGGTGCTGCTCGATTGCTCTAAGTCACTATCTAACTCTTCTGGCCTCAGTTAAACCCCGAGTCTCCCACATCCCTCTGCTCTTGGGACCCCCTGAATCACAACTCAAATGTTGATATTGACAGTGATGTCCTTTCTCCCAGGCTATTCCTGTTTCATTCTTGCATCAATACCCAGTTTCCCTTTAACAATGAGAAAGCAATAAATAAAAATATTCATTAAAAAGATCAATGATTGACCAGGCGACTGTAATCCCAGCAGCTCAGGAGGCTGAGGCAGGAGCATCTCGAGTTCAAAGCCAACCTCAGCCATGGTGAGGCGCTAAGCAACTCAGTGAGACCCTGTCTCTAATAAAATACAAAATTGGGCTGGGCATAGCTATGGCTCAGTGGTCGAGTGCCCCTGAGTTCAGTCCCCCATACCAAAACAAAAGAAAACAAAACAACCTAAAAAGGTCAATAATCCCTCCAACTTGATTAAATACCTTGATATTTTCAGAAAGATATAAATACATATTCAAAGTGAGAAAATTTAAACAGTATGGAAAGGATCTCAACAAATAAGAGCTTCTTTCATTTCCCCCAGGCCCCAAGATAACTATGAGAGATAATTCCTTGTGATTCTTTCTCCAAGTCTTTATGCAGAAGTTTATCGACATTTATTGAAAGATCACATATTATATGCAATATTCTTTCACACATTGAAATTTTTTGTTTTAATAATAAACAAAAGAACTTTTTCTTCGTTTTTTTAAAACTTAAAATTTGTTCCAGATAAAATTTAGAATTCATTCATAAGATCTTCTCTATTTCAAAAATAATTGAATTTTTTTTTTTTTTTACTGATGCTGAGGATAGAACTCTGGTCCTCACGCATGCTAGACAAAGGCTTTTAACCACTGAACTACATCCTCAGCCCCTAATTGGAATTTCTGTTCCAGTTTACTTTATGTATGAAAATTTAATCTAGGACGAATTGAAATTTTGTCAGTATTCAATATTTTTCTTATCACAGAAGTCAGCATTTCAAGACAATTGTTTTTCTTCCAGCTAAATTAAGATCTGTCTTTTTCTACAAATAAATCATTTCTATTTCTTGACAGTGCTGCTTTCTTCGTACTTAAGTGTTTTATAAACTTTATAAATTGGATATCTTTTCGTGGCGTTTTCTAATGTATTGTTTCACTACATTTTTAGCCATTCATTCTGACTTCTGTTGCTCTTTCAATCCTTTATAAACTTCAGGGTTTTTTACATATTCAAACATACGTAAACAGTGATTCATTTTCCTGCTCCATTCCGAGACTCCTGCTCTGCGTTTCTGTCTTCCCGCCTGCTGTGGAGCCAGAACTGTTGAGCACAGTGGGCAGCAATGCCGGGAAGGGCGAGGGAGCTTGCCTAGAAGCCCTGGGTTCCATCCCCAGCACAATTACAAAGAAGAGTGAGAAAAAATAGTCAGGGGGGAGGAAGGGAGGAAAACTGCTTAGCAAAGCACCTGTTGCATCTCAAGTGCCACCCCTGTGAATGACAGTGGCTCATTTCACAGAGAAATGCATCTTTGGATTCCAAGCTGTTTTAAAACCTCAGAACTGGTGTTCAGTCTTACCAAGTGCCTGCCAGCCTTTGTGGTGATTGTGTCATGCTTTCATTTCCTTCATTGTTATTGATCAGAACACCTTCACATTCTCGAAACCAACCACGGCTTTGGATGGCAGTGCCTTCATATACAGGCTTCTACTGAGTCTCATAAAAATTCTGTAAGAGCCACGTGTGGAGGGGCTCACCTGTCATTCCAACCACTCGGAAGGCTGAGACAGGAGGATCACAAGTTTGAGGCCAACCTGGGCAGTGAGACCCTGTCTCAAAGTAAAAACTAAAAAGGGCTGAGGACATAGTGCACTGGTAGAATGACCCTGGGTTCAATCCTCAGTACCAAAAGAAAAGAAAAAAATTTTTAAAGAGGGCTGGGGATGCGAGGCTGGGGATGTGGTTCAAGCGGTGGCGCGCTCGCCTGGCATGCGTGCGGCCCGGGTTTGATCCCCAGCACCACATACCAACAAAGATGTTGTGTCCGCCGAAAACTAAAAAATGAAGATTAAAAAATTCTCTCTCTCTCTCTCTTTAAAAGAAAAAAATGGGCTGGGGATGCTTGAGATGCTGGGTTCAGTCCCCAGTACTGCAAAAATAAGAGAATAAAAGGCCTCTGAGAAGGCCACTTCCTCCTGATGGAGGTGGGAGGGAATGGACCAGAAGGGAAGCTCTGGGTGGGGCAGCGAGCATTCCCTCTTGGTGGAGTGATGCTTGGAATGGAACACTTCAGGTGAGCATGCACACAGCCTGTGCGTACGTGGCTCCAGGTGGCAAGTTTATTGCCAATCTCCACAGAGACCTGGAAGGGATAAGGGAGGTGGCCCAGGTCTCCAGACTGGCTGGTTGTCAGAGGTCCCTGACTCTGATAGGGCATCTCCCCTTTGTTCCAGAGACCTGCAGAAACAGAGAGGTCTCCGATGAGAAGGAGGCCACTGGTTCCAGTAGAGGGAACTGACACCATTAAGAGTAAGTATTTCATGTGAGATGATGAACAGGTGCCCAGGAAATAGGATCAGGGTTTTAACTGCTGTCCCTGTGGCTGGTAGGGCTTCCCCAGGGCTGTTGATGCTGGATGCAGGGGGTCCTATGCTGCTGTCACTGGGCTTTAGGATCCACGAATCTCCTTCTGGCTCTGCTTCTCCCATGGGGGCCCACCCGGTCCCTCTCATCATTTGCATCTTTCTATACCCGCCCACCATCCTCCCTCCTTGCTTGTAGTTCATCATCCCCCAGGTCCTCCTGAAGGCTATTGCACACCTGACCTGTGGCCAGGCCCTGTTTGATGGGCTGTAGTATAAACTACAATCTGGATTTCAAAGACTGAATGTCGATTATATGATGGAATGATACAATTTTATAAATATCGAATTAAGTACAATGTCTTATCAAAATGAATTTCATTTATTTCCTTTTACTTCTTAAAAGAGGCTATTAGAAAATATCAGCTCCTGTCCCTTCCGTTTCTCAGGCCATGCTGGGCCATGCATTTCACACAAGTCTCGTTTAATCCTTCACAGCCCGTGAGCTGGGTGCAGCTGATGGGTTTACAGGTTCACGTGTTCCTTGAGTCTGTTTGCCTCCATCCAGCATTGCCCAGTGGCAGTGTGGGAGTCAGGCAGAAGCCCTGCACCGCTAGGCCCTGCTCCTTCCATAGAGGCAGATGTGGCTACTCTGGCCCATATCACACGTCACTTTCCTACTGCATAATAACTGCGCACCACTTAGAGCCGTATTCTCTGCTCTCCCCCAGTGTGTTGGGTGAGGTGGGACCAGGCAGTGTTCATGGAAGCAGATAGGGATGTGGGAGCAACAGGTTCCTAGGCTTAGAGAGCTCATTAGTTTCCACACTTGAGTTCTGGACCTGATTTAGGATCCTCTGCCCTTGGTGAACTGCTTCTAATGTGCGTGTCCTTCATGTTCCTCCTATCTAGCCATTCGGCAGTTCTTCAGTTGCCATCAGAATGTTGTACCCTATAAATCCTGGGATAAACTCATGCGGGTGCTGGACCTTACAGATAATGAAATTCTTATGATCAAAGATAGAATAGGGAACCCGGAAGATTGCTTGTATGAGATGATGGTAAAATGGCTCAACAAAATGGGGCACAGTGCCTCCATCAACACCGTGCTGGATGCCTTGGAAACAATTGGCGAGAGAAATGCAAGGGAGAAAATCGAGGACTACATGGTGAATTCCGGAAAATTTATCTATCAGGAAGATGGAGCAGATCCTGCAAGGTCACTTCTTTAGAAAGGCAAATGTTCCCTCCTTTGTCTTTTCTCCCCTCAAAAAAAACACTTGAACACAAGAAAGTAGGAAATAACCAAACTTCCACATGACAAGATCTGGAGCACTTTCTTAATTCTTGTGCATTTGAAGAATGAAACCCATAGACCAAGATTGTGTATAACAGAAAGATGTATTGAAGCACAGGAAGGGACCTCCTGCAGTATAAGAGGGCCCCTAATAGTAGGCTTTCTCCTGCTGAGTGTGCTAGTCTATGGGTTTATACACAGCACTTGGTTTGCTGCTATAGGACTTGAAAACTACTAAAGCCATTGCTAATTCTTGAGTTCCAACTTTCTTTCAAGTCTGCCCCACTTCCAGCCTAGTGTGGGGCTGCAGCAGGTGTCTGTTCTGTGCCCAGGCCTGGCCTCTGAAGGTTGACAGGTCGGTGTGCCTTGGCTTGCCTGGGTACTGGCTTTCTGTCCTGCCTATGGGGGCCACTCCATGGGCCGCAGGCAGCGCTTGCCAACCGCGCTCAGACACACTTGGTTGCTCCACATCTGCTCCTCGGCTGGGACCAGTAGGCTGGCTGCATAGCTTGGCAGCTGGGGGAGAGCCGTACCATTAAGATATATGGCTCTTTTTTTTTTTTTTAAGGTGGCACTTTTTTATTCTAATACATCTTAATTTTTCCTTGTAACTATGTTTACGTGTTTACATTAACTTCCTTTATTTTTGTGTTTTTGTAATTTTGTATGTTATAATGTAAGTGTTTGACAAGAATTCTTCTTCCTAATATGCACTTTGATTTAATGACTCTTCAGTGTTTAACCCAGTCTTTTAAACTTATAAACTTATTTATTTTCTGTTGGTGTTGGGGATCAAACTCGGGGCCTTGCACATGCTAGTCAAGAGCTCTACCACTGATCATCTCCAAACTTTAAATATGACACTTCTGTAAGTGTGTGAATAGTTCTTTATTTACAGAAGATGTAGCAATAACTATATTCTTCTGAGATCCTGACCTGGGCAGGGACCTTTGTCCTTGATGTCTGCCTTGGTCTCAGAAAAGAACAATAGGATGTGAATGTGAAATATTTGCTTACTAGACTACATGGTACCTCTTACTTGTGAATCTGAGCCCCAGAGCTGCATTTTGGGGTACGGAGTTGTACTTGAGAACCCAAGCCCTCTATATGCACAGAGGGCTTCTGGATATGACATTCAACTTAGAAACACAGATTCTTAAGTTCTGATATAGAAAGACCTAAAATGGCTTTGGGCATTTTGTCCTGGCTTTCTCCTCTATATTTAATTCCTCATTAACTATTGGAGACTACCTTCCAGCAAAACCTTCTCCAGAGCATTCCAGTCACAGAAGGACATTTCATGGAGATGATAGTTCTCAGGTCAAGGCATTGGATGTTTTCTCATTTCAGGGCTGGTATGACTTGCTGAGAGCAATAGCTGAGTGGGAATGACGCATGGCATTTTTGCCAGAACAGAGTGGTTGAGAGGTGATGCCAGCAAGCCATTGAGACAATGGTTATGTTAAGCTGTGTATTCAATTGTATATTAGACCCCTGCTGTCCCCCTTGGCCTGCTACTTTGGAGTTCTGGATTCAGGGAGAGGATTGCACATCCAAAGCCAGCCTCAGCCAAAGGGAGGTGCTAAGCACCTCAGTGAGACTCTGTCTCTAAATAAAATACGAAATAGGGCTGGGGATGTGGCTCAGTGGTCGAGTGCCCCTGAGTTCAATCCCAGGTACCTTCACCCCAAAAAAGGGAAAAGATGTGGCCTCTGAGTCCTCAAAACACTAGAAATGGAACCACCATTTGACCCAGTTATCTGACTCCTTGGTTTATACCCAAAGGACTTAAATCAGTGTACTACAGTGACATGGCCACATCAGTGTTTATAAGTAGCTCAATTCACAATAGCTAAGCTATGGAATCAACCTAGCTGCCCTTCAACAGATGAATAGCTAAAGAAAGTGTACATATGTATGTATACACAATGGAATATTACTCAGCCACAAAAGAACAAAATTGTGGCATTTGCCAGTAAATGGATGGAACTGGAGACTACCATGTTAAGTGAAATAATCCAATCCCCCAAAACCAAAGACCAAATATTATGCAGATGGTAACTCACAAGAAGCAGCTCTGCGGTTGTGGTGGGAAATATGAGTTCACTGGATTAGGCAGAGGGGAGTACAGGGAAGGGAGTAGGAAAGACAGCTCAATGAGACACAACTTTCCTACATTCAAATATGGACACACAACCAATGTAACCCACATCATGTACGACCACAAGCATGGGAAGTCGTACTCCATGTGTGAATAATATGTATAACTAAAAAGAATAAAAAATATTTTTAAAGAACGTGGCCTCTGTGCATCTTTAGGAGAGGGGACCCTTTCATCTTCCCATACCCCTCCTCCCCCCTTTCAGGTCCCCCAAGCTGCTCCCCGGCTGCTTTCTGGACGTTAGCCTTTGCTGCTGCTTTGGTGGACTCTTGTCCTCCTGAGAGGAAGCCAGTGAGGCTCAGCTCCCGGCACCTTTCTCAGAGGACTTCCCGGGTCCCACCGCAGGAAGTTAGCCTCATCCGTGTTGGGCCTGCTTATTGTTGCATGTAAGCGGCCTGTGCAGGAGACGTGAGCTCCTCCCGCGGCTGGTTGTGTGGTGTGCACCAAGTTCAAATGCAGGCAGGCTCTTGAGCAAGTGCTTCCTGGGAAGCGAGGGGTTGAAAACGAGTGGTGACACGGAGCGACACAGGAAGGCCGTCAGGTACAAAATACTCATGTATTTATGAATTCATGACCAAATTAAATATGAAACCTTATATAAAAAGAGGTGTGGTTTTTGTTTTTTGCCCCCATCCTCTCCGTCTCTGAACCAGCTCTGAGGGACCCGAGTCTGGGGAAATGTCTTGCCCCCATGTAACCCGTGTCCTGCTTTCTCCCCTTTATTCTCTGGGCTCACCCTGTGTGTGTGTGTGTGGGGGGGTGTTTTCTACTGCCTCCCTGGGATCCAGAGGGGCGGTTCCTGGGGGGCTGAAATTCAGCACCTCCTCCTTCCCCCCACCTGCCCTTCCCTCTGGGGACAGGGACATCTGCTCTGATCTGGCGCACCCACAGCCTCCCAAGGTGGTTTCTCTGGGCTGCAGGGCTCTGTGTGGGGCAGAGCGGCCCTAAGAGAGCTGAGGGTCAAGGGTGGCGGGTCCCTGAGGGGTGAGCTGGCCCTGGGTGCTGAGGGAATTCTGTGGCCACTCTCCTGTGGGCTGCCCTCTACTCCTTCTCGGCCTTCACTTTCCCCAATGGCCTTTCCTCTCTGGCTCTAGGTTCCTCAGCCCTGCAAGCACCTGGGAGACCCATTGCCCCCTCCTCTTTAGAACTGAGCTCTCCCTCTCACCTAGATCTCAGGACATGTGTCCCCATCTCTGTTCCCCTGCCACAAGGATGCTGCCGAGGCTGCACAGGTCCTCTTCTGGATGCCCCCTTCCCCCACCTCAGCCTCACCCTTGAAGCTGTGGGCAGAGCTGGGGTGCAGGGAGGTTGGATAGCCAGCAGAGGGCAGCACACGACTGGCTTCCAGCCAGCTAACCAGGAGGACTGGAGGGAGGCAGTCACAACTTTGGAAGGTAAGGCTCAGACACCATGGGTTCACCCCACTCTAGACCTGCCCCTACCTGGGCCTCTCGTCTCGACAAGGACTAACCTCAGAGCTCTAGGTCTTGGCACCGCACAATCATTGCAGGATTGCCTGGGTTTCTGGGTTTGCTCTATCCCAGACCTAACTGCCTCACCCCAGGTCCCTGGGACCTAGCCAGTCCCTCTCCCTGAAGCATCTTTCTCAGGGGACGCCGTAGCTCTCAACTCACTGCCTCCTGGCTCTGCAATTCCTCATCAGGACCCACCTCATAGCATTAAAAAGGGTGTAGGGGCCACAAGCTGTTTTAATCCCCAGTCTCATCCTTCCTTTCTAGATGAACCTTGCTTTTCCTTCTGTTCAATCCTCCCTTCATCCTAAACCAGCACTAGGTAGGGCTTTATGTCCCATGATCCTTCATTACATGGGACTGTTGTTCTCCAACTGTGTCTTTTGTTGACATTGACCCTTGTCCTAAGTCCGCCAAACACAGAATCCATAAGCATCCTGCGGGATCACCCTCAGAGGTGAGGGCAGTCTACATCCTCGAGATGGGCAAAGGCAGGGTCCAATACGGCTACGTCCTGAGGCCAAAGCCCTCCCCTCAATCCTCACAACCTCAGTCACCAGCAAGCAGCAGCCCAGGAGCCGGGCTGCCCCGAGGGCTGTTGGGCAGACCCAGGACATCTCAGCCACAGCAGGCAAGGAGCCCTTCCCAAAAGGCATCAGAGTTGAAGGTATACTGAGCCTCCATCTCCTAGCCATGGGGCCTCTGTTTGGCTTTATAAAAATGTAAGCTATATAGGGTCTTTTTCTCATTTCCATTCTTTGGGGAAATAGAGGCTAGTGTTTTTTTGTTGGTGGTGAATTCCTTTTGAGTTGGTTCTTGTTTGTTTGGGGTTTGTTGTGGGTTTTTTTTGCTAATTTTGCCCCACCCCCATAAAAAGCAGTACTACCCAAGAGGCAGGGGAAGGGGCCCAGAGGAGCATGGGATTGCTGCACACAGACCCCACTCCTCCCTCCTCTCCCAATCCAGTTGTTTCCTTTGGTTTCCATCTGAGGAGTACAGAAGGGGCACTGCCTCCAGGCCTGGAGCTCTGAGCTACCTCTGCCACCCACAAATCAGGCCTCATTGCCTGCAACCTGGGAGGGATGCAGAATGCCAGCTTTTCCATGTGTGGCCTCTTGCAGCTGCAGCCCAGGATGTAGAAGCCTTGAGTTGAGCTCTGAAGGCTTAATTTCTACCCTGACTTCTCCAGTGAGGATCTGAGTAGGCTTCATGTGGAAATCCCACAAAACATTTGCAACCATCTAGTCTGTTGGGAAGATGTGGCCCATGGAGCAGGACCCTGGCTGCTCTCTGGGAAGGGGGCTGCCTCCCCAGCCAGAGCAGAGACCCAGACACGCAGGCAAGCCCTTGTGCTGGGAGGCTTTCCCCTTGACTCTAGGGTTCTTGACCCCAGGGAGAAAACGCCAGAGCTCTTGGCTCTTCCCCTGCTTCCTGCCTCCCGGAAGGTGTCTCCTGTCTTGCCTTGGAACTGGGGACCTGCCAGCAGGGCCTGGCTCCTCTCTGGCTGAGCTATGTTGGCTGGTGAGAACAGCTCTGCCCTTAGGGTCCTGGTGAGGTGGGTCCCCTTGTCCCTGGTGGGTGGCAGGGGTGATGCAGAAGAGCAGAGGGACAAGGGCAAATGGGGACAACAGCAGCAGGGTCAGAAGAGGGTGGCAGCATCTCAGACCACAGCCGAGGATGACGATGGGGAGGATGAGTTGGCTGCAGAGGAGGACGGTGAGGAGGGACTGTTCCAGAACAGCCACCGCCGCTTGGGCTGCCGCTTCAGGTGCAGATAGTCCTCCTTCTCCCGCTCCTTCCGCGCCCTCTGATAGTGGTCCTCCTCCTTCAGGTACCACACCGGGGGCCACCGGTGCTTCTCGAAGTACTCTTGGTTCTCTAGAACAGAATGCATGGGGCTTGGTTAGGAGAACAGGGGCAAGAAGGTCCACCGTCCCTTGACCTGCCTCCAAGCCAGCACCAAGTACACCTTGACCTGTGGTCCAGGACCCCATGGTCTCCTGCACAGAGCCGCTGAAGGAGGTGAAAAGGGGAGATGTCACAGTCGGCCTGGGAAAGGCACTTCTGGGGAGGAGCCCAATCAGCCCACAGTAAGTGGGAAATATCATGAGCCGGAAATGTTCTTGATCCCCCTTCCCTACGACGCTTAGCACGACGCTTAGCAGCCCCGGGCACCACAGGATGGTGGTCATTTCCCTTCCCAGTTGCATGGATGACTGGGAGCTGCAGTGGCTGCCACTGACCAGCATCGCAGCAGGAAAAAGCCAAATTCAAAATGGAAAGCTGAGTTTCTATTCAATGTGCATTGCTTTCACACCACGGTCACTCAAAAAAAAAAAAAAAAAAAGTAAGTCAGGGGCCCCGTAAGTTGGGAAGAAAAACAGGAAAGACCAAGATGAGGGAGGAGGGGGAGGAGAACAGCCTCCAGCAGGAAGGGACTCTGCAAGGTTGAGGGGTGAGGGGGCCCTGCAGTCAAGGTTCTGGGGGGAATCAGGAGGAAGAGCAGCAGCAGGACACAGGTTATTCTGGAGGGTGTGAAAGGAGTGGGGTCAAGGGAGTGATGCAAGGCTTGAGAAAGAAAATGCCAGAATGGTTGTGACAAATGTGAAAACAGGAGAAAACAGAGCTGGGGACTGGTCGGGTGCAGCGACAACCCTGCAGTGGGAAGAGGGTCAGAGCCTAGTGGACGGAGCCTGGTGAAGACCCAGGAACGCTGAGTGGCAGACTCTCCCTGGAGCCCGTGGATTCTGGGTTAGGCTCTTGGACCTAAGAAAATCATTAAGAAGAAACAGAACTGCAGGCGACTGCAAGGGATATTTAGATCTGGGTGGTCCACGCTGTGGATCGTGCCCGTTCCTAAGTTGGGAAATCAACTTAGTGGGTCGTGTGCAGCATTTTTTGTCTTTTACATGCTTTTCTATGTGTATACTGGTCATGATATCAAACATAATTTTTATTGTGGTGTATATCCAAAAGAGTCTGAAAACTACCAACTCTGGTCCAATGACCTCTTCAAACCTTTGAGAAACAGAAGCCCAGAGAGGTAGAGTGAGGTCCTGAGTTCCCCACCCACTCCAGGACAGTGCTTTTCCCAGGGTCCTCTCTGCATGGCCAGAGACACCTCTGCAGGCTGCTCCCATGTCCAAGGTCAAGTGAGGCCCAAAGATCTCAGCCTCCTTTGGGTTCCTGGGGATAAGTGTGAGCTGTGGACCCAAGCTGAGGGCGCTTCGACACAAGTAGGGAGCAGCAGGTGCTGCTGGTGCTGGCTCTGGATGCTCACCTGGGGACATAGCCTTCATGTCTCGGGGGAACTTGCGGCACACGTTGTTGTAGTTGGTGCAGATGTGGTGGAGACACCAGTCGGCCAACTGGTACGCACAGTGGAACTGTGGAGGGAACACAAGCGGGTCTGTCCTGAGATGCCACAGTCTCCTTCAGAGCTGCAGCACTGATGCAGTGTGGACCCCACCTCCAGAGCCCACCTGGACTGGAGGAAGAGGATGCTTGACTTGACCAATTCCACCTCGCCATGGTCCTGCCCCTGGTGTCCACCCTACAGATATCCATGGCCCTAGGGGTGCTTCCTACTGCATCTGCCCTCCCCGGCCCTTGCCCCATCAGCAGCGAAAGTCTGCACCGGGGTAGTCCTCCACCAAGACGGGCAACCCTGAGAGCAGACCTTGCGTTAGCTGAGCTCTGACTTCATAAGATAAACTTTGGTGGCTGAATTTCTGGCATTGTGGGGGCTAGCATGGGAGATTTTGCTTGCTTGTGTGGAATTAAGGAGGTGGGCAGTTAGTTTTAAAGAAAGAGTCCTCAATGACTGAGCCTAGATTCCCTCGCTGCCCTGTGGCGGCCTAGTCCCTTCTTTCCGTGGCCAGCTTTCCTCTGGGGGTGTCTGGGAGTTCTCTAGCTTTTGTCATGGAGGATAAAATGAGGTCCACCCAATGAGAAGTCCAGTCTGACAACAGCTCCCTTCCTACCTACCACCCGCCCAGTCCCAGAGTTGAGACTGTGGTGGATTCTTCCCCTGCCACAATACCTGAGCCAGTTCCAAGAACACAAGGACGTCCCCATCGATGTCCACCATCATCTGAGTTGCTTCCATCAGCCCCGTCACTGTGTACTGCTCTGTGACACACACAGTCAGCAATCAGCTAAAGAGCCACACGTAAGGACCTGCACTACTTATAGGGGCTCACTGCAGGGCAAAAAGAGATCAGGGCCAAGGGCAAGTCCCAACAGGCCAGGAAAGGCCACAGGTGACTTACATCCGCTCCCAGCAGGGGAAACTGGGATGAGGGCAAGACTTCTCGGTGGGGTGACAGAGGATCTAAAATCACTAAGAGGATTTTTCAAACTATATATGTCCCACCACATAGTCTAATGTATACCCGGTGAAATTCTCCGATAGAATTAGCCGCTGATACAGACAGGAAAGGAAGCATCATGTTTGTTGAAAACAGAAAAAGGCTGAGAACTTTGATTTAGAACTATGGTTTAGCCAGGCTCAGTGCATGCCCATAATCCCAACAACTTTGGAGGCTGAGGCAGGAGGATCACAGGTTCACGAAAAGCCTGGGCAACTTAGCAAGACCTTGTCTCAAATTAAATTTAAAAAGAACTGGAGATGTAACTCAATGATACAGCACCTGTTTATTATATGCGAGGCCCTGGGTTTGATCCCCAGCAACATACACATGCACGCACACACATGCACACACACACACATGCACACACACACATGCACACACACACATGCGCACACATACACACACACACAGATAAATACATTTCCCAACTCCATTCATGGAAAAGACCTGGAAACAATAACCACTCCTGTAGCAATGAGCATCCTCATGCACAGAAACACCATTTCCATTTCCAACTAAAAGAAACCTGAACTTCTTAAAGAAATGGTTGTCCAGGTGCAGTGGCTCACACCTGTAATCCCAGGGGCTCAGAAGGCTGAGGCAGGAAGGTTGTGAATTCAAAACCAGCCTCAGCAACTTAATGAGGCCTAAGCAACTCAGCAAGGCTCAAAGCAACTCAGTGAGACCCTGTCTCTAAACAAAATACAAAAAAGGACCGGGGATGTGGTTCAGTGATTAAGGTTAAGTGGCCCAAAAAAAAAGAAGAAGAGGAAATGGTTGGTCTGGGGCATGAACTATACAAGAGGCCCCTACACTATCACTCCAGAAAGCAAGAAATCTCAGAGACTCTGAAGCCAACTCAAAGAGACTCCTACTGGCTAAAAATACATTATTTAAGCTTCAATAAGGATAATTGCAATGAATTAAAACCAATCAAGTGCATCCAAATCCAAAATTTCATAAGAATACTTTAAAACACTCAAATTAATTGGTCATTCTCTCAAGGAGGATAGGAAACTGATTATCTCAAAATTTAGGAAATAAAAAGGAAGAATCAAGAACCTGCCTGTCTTTCCTATATGAACTGTATACTAAGTAACCAAACAGTAGGTGAGGGACAGTTTCTCTCCATTTAGAAGTCTTCCAAAAGATAAGGGAAGAAGGAATGAACACATTGGAATATTACTGTATTGCAACAATAACTTCATAGATCCAGGCAATGATACTCAACGGCTACTAAGAGGACAAAAAGAGAGAAGAGACAATCCTTCCCTCTTCACGGAGAAAAACAACCTATTTTTATAAGGCTATAAAGCAGTCTTATAAAAATAAAATTATGTGGCTGATCTAGCCTCTAGGTTCAATTAGCAGTTTACAGGCAATATGATGGACAGAGGACTATGTTAAATTACACTATAAAAATGCAATCAGCAAAAATATAGATCTTGGAAAACTCTATAGGAACAAAAACCAGTGTTTGTTTGTTTGTTTTCTTTCAAAAAATAAATTTCAGAGGAAAAGAATTTTTTTAACGGACAAGGTACATATTGATTAAAAGCTACTTAAAAGATATTTTTTTAAAAATCATGCTATAGTATCTAAGAAAGTGTACTTGAATAACCAAATTACAAAGGAGGGTAAAGAAGTGAGTTCATAGAAAAGTCCCATAAAAAACAGTGTGGGTTCTTCTGGGGAGGAGGGGGGCACCTGTGATGGGGCAGGACAGGTGGACACTTTTTGTGTGGCTGGTTCCAGCCCCTGACAGGCATCATGATTAGAAAGACATTCTGCTTTATAATGACTCATTAAAATGAACATAAAAAAAAGAACATAAGATAAATTTTGTGTAACTAATGTCTTAATAAATGAAAAAGAAGGGGGCATAAGTTGACTTAAAAGTTATGAAGTGGTAAAATATTATGAACATATGCTTCATGAAGCTTATATATTTGTCTTATATTTGACAACAAGTTTTATATTAAAAAAAACTTCACAGAATATCTCACAAAACTTAGAGCATCACCAATAATACAAAATTCTGAATCCTGCATCTCCCAATAATCCTTAACGAGGTAGATGTATACATTTTTGTATCTGTGTTCTTGTGTGTATGGAACATTTCCAGAGAAAAGCTTTTCAATGGCATCGTGAGGTTCCAGGCAGTTCGTGGTTTAACATTTTTTTAAATTATGTATTTATTCTAACTTGTTATATTTGACGGCAGAACACAATTCAATTCATATTACACACATAGAGCACAATTTTTCCTGTCTCTGGTGGTACCAGTTTAACCTTTTCAATGGCTGCCATGGGAAAATCACCGATGTGGGCTTAACCAAGGGTAGGTACTTCTTTGACTCGCTTTCAATTGAATGCCCTAATGAAATTAAATTATAGAAATATCTTTCTATAGTTTATTTTTCCTTGGGGTCATTTCTTTGGAGATCATCTTTTAAAAGTAGAATTTTACCACACCCAAGAATTTGGAATTTTAGGTGCTCTGGGAAGACCACGCTGTTTTTCATGGGCAGCAGTGAATGACATACTGTTGTGGCTGTAATCTTGGGACACCTTTCTTACTCCCTACCCTAAAGTCCCTTCTGCCCCCCAGCTGGGGCCCCTGGGCCCCACTGCAGGATTAGCTCTTAATACTCTGATTTTGATCCATGATTTCTGCCTTCTTCCTCTGATCAAGTTGTATATTATCATTCCTTTCTTGTCATGGGATTGCTTTTATTCTCCTGTCTGTGCCCCAATCTTGATCACCCTCCCACAGTTCCAGCAGTTCTGACACTGGCCGTTTCTTGCCTGAAGCCCAGCTCAATATCTGAAGGTATTGTCTCTGGCCCTCATGACCTGCGCAGGAATATTAAACTTGACCTCAATGCCAGCACTGCGGTTTAACATTTTTTAAAATTATGTATTTATTCTATTATGTATTTATTCCTCCAATCCAACAACACACAGATACCAACTCCAATATCAGCAGAAGCTGTCTGTCTGCCTGGGTCTTTGGCCCCAGACTCCCTTCACTCCAGTAGCACCTTTTATCTCCCTCAGACCCTTGACCCAGGCTGCCCACTACTCAACCTCCCAAAGCCCAGTTCTCTCCTCAACACAGCTCTGGGATGGGCCCATTCTAAATGCTGAGCTCTGGCTCTCACAGTCTTTTTATTTTGGGTACCAGAGATTGAACCCAGGAGTACTTAACCACTGAGCCCCAGCCCCTTTTTTATATATTATGTAGACACAGGGCCTTGCTAATTTGCTGAGGCTGGCTTTGAACTCACGATCCTCCTGCCTCAGCCTCCCAAACTGCTGGGATTATAGGCATGCGTCACCACACCCAGCTCTCACAGTCTTTTTAAGGAATTAGGAATGGAAGGTCAACACTTGTTTTCTGTTTCTGGAAGAAGGAAGGAAAAGTGAAGTTGAAGGTCAAGGAAGAGGAGAAAAAAGAAAATAAGAAGAAAGGGAAGGAGGAAGCAGATAAGAAGGAAAAGCACAGGTGGAGCCTGTTCTATGCTTTATCAACCTTAGGCTGCTTGAGGGAAGCCAAGCTAAGAATGTGACGCACTGTCACATGCTGGAGACCTCTGGGCCGAGCTCTGAGGTGACCCTATGGAACATGTGTCTCACACACTTCCTCTCCTCTACACCCTCATCCGAAACTCTACCACCCGCAGGTCTCATTCCAGGGAGCTTCTTCCCTTGGCACTTCAGCCTGTCCCCAGGGGGAAAGAGAGGACAGAAGACACATCATCCCTGGGGTCTTCTTGGCCTCCCCCCAGGGCGGTCCCTGAGCGCTCCAGTTAGTTACCTGTGAGGGCAACCAGGTGCGGCAGGCAGAGGCGGTTGGCCAGGATGATGAGCTTCATGTCGTCCAGGTCCGGACTGGAGGTGAACATGCCCGTGTAGAGGTACTCCAGCACCGCCCTCATGCAGCTCTTGCTCGTGTAAGGGAACACCACCTGGGGGAAGGAGGAGGACAGGGACGATGAGGCCTCGTGCATGGAAAGAGCAGCTCAGTCCTGAGAAGCCAAGAAGCCCTGGTCCACAGGGCTGGTCTCCCGGGGGCAGGAAGCCTTCTCTGTGCTATACTTACACATGCTTAGGAGACCACGGTCCCAAAAGGTCTGGGCCCACTGCTGGTCCCCAGTTTGCTGAGAGCACCAGTGAATGGACATCTTTTAAAGAGACTTAGATTCTCAGTGGCATCCTTCTGAAACCACACTGGCTTGGAAGATGCTGGAAGGAGTCATTTCAGTCAACTACACCCCACCCTCCACATGCCTGCAGGGAGCTGTCCAAGTGGGATACAGAATGAGCAAAGGGAACACCAGCTGGTTTCTCTGGCTGCTCAAAGCTCCTGCTTTGGGCCTCCGGGATCTCTTCAGAGAAGCACTGCAACAAAAACTGCTTTCTCATCAGATGCGAGTCTGGGCACACTGGGAATTGGACAGAGCTTTAAAGCTGGTGTCTATAGTACTGAGAAGTGCCCAGGGCAGGTGGGCCCCTGGGGCTTCAGCGAATCCTTGGCCCACACTTTGCACATCCTAACCCTTCTCCCACTTCGCAGTGGCTCACATCTCAGCCCTCCACTTAGCCTCATAAGTGCATGGTTTCCCGGAAATCTTTGGAAGCTCATATTCTGGACTGCAGGATGTGATGCTGAATTGCTCTTCGTTCAGTTTTTCCTTCAAGTACTTGGCGAGCACTTGCTAAGAGACAGGCCTGGGGTGGGGGCAGGGTAGCTGGCAGAAGTCAAAGACCTAGTCCCTGCACTCAAAAGCGATTTCACACCAGCTGGGAACTGCAAGGAGAGGGTCTTTTAAAAATGCCTCTGTACAAAATGGAAGCTTATTAACCACAAGGTGAAGTGAGGGTATTATTGTTCCGGGACTCAGAGGTGATGGGGAGCATGAAGGGCTGAGGCCTGGGCCAGTCAGCTGGGCCAGGAAGATGAAAAATAGTCAGCAGACTCGGAGCAACTCTAAGGACACCTGCATAGACCCTTTCTACCTCCAGCTTCCAGTCTAGTGCTTGGGAAGGAAGAAGAATCTGAAAAGGACAGGTGAAGAAAGAAAGGTGCCTTTCTATAATCCGAAAAGAACAGGTAGAGAGGTGTTTTGATGACAAGCCTGTGCCTCCCAAGATGAACCAATTCCTAGAGACAGTAAAGAAGTTGCTGGCAAGCGTGTCTTTTTATTATATCGCAGACCACCCAATCCAGAGCCCATACCCCACCACCTTCTCTGCCCAGGGCCCTTACACTCCAGGCCTCATTCCTCTGTCCAAATCACCCCAGAACCAGGCACTAGACAGCTAAGACATTTCCCCCTGCCCCTGAGCCAGTGGACTTGTTCAAGTTAGCAAACCTAAATCTGCTTAACCTGCTTCAACTATTCCTTCCCACAGAAACCCTCCACTTCCTGACCACCCTGGTGCTTCCAGGGCTGATCCCCTGGTGTGCATGGTCCTCCCTGCACTGGTATCTGTGAGTAACAGATTAGCTCTTCAATGGCAGTCTCTCCTGATCTGTTGATCTCACCAGAGCTCAATAAGAATAAAACCTAGCTTTGAAGACACTAGTGACTTCAGTTTGGAACACATTGATTTTTTTTTTTCTACTTGTTTCATGTGTCCCAGGGAGGCAACAGAGTGAAGTGTAAAGAGCCAGTCCTGAGCCGTCCTTTCTACTCACAAGTGTGTGCAAGTCACACACTTCCTAGGGCCACACATTTGATGCAGGAATGCTGCTCAATGTGAAGATAATGTATGGAAATGCTTTCCAAGATATTATGATGTTACTGTAAATCCCTCTCCTGGAACACTGCAAATCCTTGGCTACAGCAACCATCTCATAAAACTTCTCTTGGGCTCATCACTCTGTGCTTAGCACAGTAAATGCTAAACAAAATACCATGAACTCCTGGTGCCTCCTAGGCAAATGGCACCTATGTCTCCCTCCTTCCCTCCCTTTCCCATCCTCAGCCTCACCTCCCTGGTGGAACTCTCCACAAACGGCCCCCCAAACATGGCAGCCATCCAGTCACAGCTGGAAATCAACAGGGGCTTGTGGGCACTGATGGTGCCGTCATCCAGGATGAAGGTCACGTCTGTTGGGGAGAAGAGACAACACAAAAGATAACAGTGTGAATGTGAGATAACCAACCCCCAATCAGTAGTCACTGATCCCCAACTATCCAGCTTCTTTCTGAAGCTACAAGACAGGAGAACTAACAACCAAACTTTCATCTTTAAGAGCAGGGTAGCCCCTTCTCCAGGGCATCAGGCTCTGAAACCAAATCAGAATGTTAAAGGAACCAACCCAGACACCCCTCAGAAAGCTGTCAGAAGGTAGAGCTCCTGCCTTCTAAGCATGATCCATACCTGAAAAGGTGCCTTTGGCCAAGCACTCCTTAATTCGGTTGGTGCGGCGAACATGGAAGGCCTTGGTGATCTCCTGGTTCATGAAGGCCTCATTGTTGAGGATGTTGGCCACCATCATGCGCAGATCGAAGACCTCCAGCAGCTCAGCAATGTGGGCAATGTGCATGAGGTCCCGCTCGTTCTCACCCAGCTCCCCAGTGTACAGGTACTTGAGAACTGCTCGGAAGGGCCCTGGCTGGATGGAGTTGTCCATCTTCACCACCACCATCAGCCGGGATTTGTATGTCAGAGGATCCTCTGCCATCTCTTCCTGGATGCTCACAAAAGCTCGGCTCCAGGAAGATAGCACACGACCCCTGCCGGGCAGGTACCCTGTTCCATTGCCCCTTAAGATCCCGTCACTGGTTGAAGCCCGCAGGCCGGCAGGACCAGAGCCCCCAGCCTCGTCCACGCTCTCACACACATCAAAGCTGGCTGCCCGAAGCAGAAAGTCCCGCCCGTGGTGGTGGTGGTGATGGTGGTGGTGTTGATCAGGGTGGCCCCGGTGGTCCTCTGGGCGAGCCCCCCCTGGCCCCGAGGGGCCCCCCAGCTCCCCCTCGCTCAGGTCCATGAGAAACAGGTCGTAGAACTTAGAGGAGGAGGTGGAGAGGTAGATCTTGTGGGCAAAGATGCGCACCCGCTCCTGCAGCACCAGGATGACGTCCGCGCAGAGCGGGTCCTCCAGGAGGTGGGCGGGGCACTCCTCACTGCTGGAGGGGGGGTCGGGCACCACGATGATGGGGGGCGGGGGCTTGGGGGGCAGGAAGGGTGCCTGCAGCAGAGGCCGCTGCACATTGCGGAGGTGGGACTTCCAGAACTGCAGGTGGCGGCGGGAGATGAGCGCAGCACGAATGGCATTGTCAAAGACGTCCTTGATGCCAAACTGAGCCACCACGCTGGTCTCATAATAAGGGATACCCAGCTCCTTAGCCACCTCCCGGCCTTTCTCCGGAGGAAGGATCTCATTGGGCTTGATGGGCCTGGCATTTTCAAGAGGAGAAACCAAGCATGTTAGTGGTGGAGGGAGCCTGTCTCTTGTTCCCCAGGCTGGAGGGACTCTGCTCAGGGTCCATTTCATTGGTCCCTCTCCTGCCCTGCTCTTTTTTCTCTGTCTGGCCAAATTCCTATTAGGTCCTTCAGATCCACCTTCAATCCCTTGGTCTTCTAGGAAGCCTTCTGTATCTGTGCCAACCCTCAGAGACCTCCATAGATCAAAGTAGTGATAATATCAACTCCCTGTCAATTAACCTGTTTATATATAGTCATCCCCAGTATCCAAGGGAGATTGGTTCTAGGATCCCATTTGGACACCAAAATCCATGAAAGCTCAAGTCCCTTACATAAAATGTGGTGATAGTTATATATAACCCACACACGTCCCCTATACTTGTCATCTCTAGATTACTTATAATACCTAGTACTATGTAAATGCTGTGTAAATAGTTGTTATAATGCTTTGTGAGGGAATAATGACAAGGAAATAAACAGCACATGTTCAATACAGATGCAATTTGGTGGTGGTGTGGGCGGGTATTTTCCATTCACAGTTAGTTGAATCCACACATGTGGAACCCACGGATACAGAGGGACAGCTATATTATCTCCAATAAAATTATAAGTTCTTTTCATGAAAATATTCCCTTCTCTCTGTCTTTCCTCATAGTGCTTAGCGTAGTGCTGTTCACACAGAAGGTGTGCAATAAACACTCGGATTCTCGGATTGATGGATGAACAGATGGATGGATAAGCGCACATGTGGCTCTGACATGCGCTTCCTCTGGATGCAGGGAGAGGTAAGGCTCTATAGGATTCCCTCAGGGAGCTAGGGTGATGTGCGCGCCCTCTGTGCCGCTTCCTCTCCTCAGGCAACAGCACCCCTACCTGGCCAAGGGCCTCCTGGCCCTGTTGACAGCCTCCAGGTCGGCATAGCGCAGGTCCAGCTGGCAACCCACCAGGATGACAGGTGCTCGGGGGCAGAAGTGCTTAATTTCTGGGTACCACATGGTCTTGACATGGTGGAGGGAATTGGGGTTGGCAATGGAGAAGCACAAAACCACCACATCTGATCTGAGGGTGGGACAGAGAGGTTATTGACAGAGAGAGCTGGCAGGGGGTCACCTGCTCCCAGAGTGAGGGAAACGTGTGCCCGTCTCCACGCCCTACCCGGTGGCTCCACACCTGGCTTATGAACCTGTTCCTATGTTCTTCCACACAATGCATAATAATAGCACCTTCAATTATGGAGCATTTTAGAGCTTCAAGACTCATTTGGCCTCGCACCTATTTTTTGAGTTAGAAATTACCATTTTACCATCTCACAGTGAGAAAAATCATTTCAAAGCTAGTAGGTGGCAGAGCTGGGACTGAAATCAGGCCTCTGGACTCCAAGCCCAGGCTGTCCCCACCCCTGGGAGTGTCTTCCATGCTGTTTCTCTGCTCCTTCCTCCCAGTTTCAACAGCAGAGTTGCTTAGTTCTCTGGGAAAGCAGGAAAATCCTCCCACTTGGCTCTCTACAGGCAGCCCAGGACTCCCCTACCTCCCATAAGCAAAGCGGCGATCTTTATGGTGGTCTCCAAAGGTGTCCCAGAGGCGCAAGGAGACGCTGACGTCATCTACCACATCTCGGGAGCGTTCCAGCACCTGGAGGGGAGAGGGGAGACAGTTCTCAGGGTAGGTGCCAACTAATCCTGATATTCTCTGGCATCCCGAGGGGTGGAAGGACAGAGCTGGTACTCCCTACTATGTGCCTTGCACAACATGCTCCTCCAAGTAAAATCTCTGAAGACTCAATAACTGCACATGTTCAATACATGGCAGCCTCCAAGCCACACAGAAGCAAAAGAGACCCTAAGAGGGCAGAATCATGAATACAGAAGGGAGACCCTCCTTTGGTTCCCAGCTTTCCTTGCAATTGTATATTCATGAGCCCCTGATCTTCCCAACCCAGTTCTCACCTCTCCCAAGCCTCAGTTCTAGGATTCCCCAGTATGTAGCGCTGTGATTGCACGAGACATGGTACTCGGCCGAAGCTGGGGTCCTAGGCTCCAGCTCAGCCACTAAGAACACAAATGGTCAAAGACCCCTCCCTCAGGCTGGGCTCCCCTCAGCCCCCTCCCCAGGGGCTCCTTCTGCTCCAGCCCCCTCCCTGTCCCACCCCTAGGCGGCTCCTGTGAGCTCCAGGGACACCAAGCCACAACTTAGGAAGATGCATGGTGTGAACCCCCAGCCAAATGGCATTGTAGCCTTACCTCCTGGCAAACACGATACTGGTCGATGGCCCACACTGTGGGCACATGGGTGGCAAGCAGCTGGTATTGAGTGAGGGTGGCATTGCAAGCCCGGGCACAGATGAGCCTGGTCTTGCCCACGGCGTTGTCCCCCACCACCACGCACTTGATGGTCTCTACGTTTGGTCTTTCATAATCCATGTCAGAATCCATTAATTGGGACCTGAGGAGCAGGAGAGGAGTAGTCAGGACAGTCTGGCACAGCAGTCCTCGGAGGACCAGGGCCAGTGCATACAGCCCTCCTCAGCTGGAGCTGTCCCGGTGTGGAGCACTGGCACTGATGAAGGAGAGGGGAGTGGGCAACCTTCCGGGAGGTAGCACTGCAGGGACCTGAGGAGAGAGGAACCCATTCAGGCTGAGAGGGGCAGTGCCAAGATGACCACCTGTCTCCTTCCAGTCTCCACTATCATCTAGCTGGGCTTCTGGATAGAGAAGGCCTGTGAGAGATCCCAAGGTGGAGCCAACCCAGGGCCTGTCTTGTCCCCACTCCCCCAGAGAGAGGAGCGTCTGCCTGGGAGCTCACTCCTCCCCTTCTCTTCTCCTCCTCCTCCTTCTCCCGGGCTGTGGCAGCAACAGAACAAACAGCTGAGAGAAGCAGAGTTGGGTCCAGGTCCCCACCCCTTCCCAGCATGCCGTAGGGCAGGGCCACTTAAAAATTTAATGGATTTATCAGGGCTGGGAGGCAGCTCTCTCCTGGTCTTTCCTCTTTCCCCTGGTTTTCTGTGGTGGTGGATTTCTAACCCCAGCCTGCTCGTGTACATCTTCCAACCCTAGCCCCTTTATGGAGATGCGAGAGTTTTTTCCTGTCAGCCTCTTTGGGCAAGGAAGGCTTCTGGATGCATCTGCCTAGACCTGTAGGCCTCCGCTCCTCTACTTGGGGTCCAGCATGTTGCCCATGTGTCTCCCTCAGCTGAGGGCCCGGCTTTGAGAGGGAGTAACCATGGCCCCAAACGATGGACTCCATGGCCCGTGGGCATTCCATCCCCTCTCTGGGCTGCCCCCAACCATCCCACATCCTGCCCCAGACAGGGTAGATCTGCCTTCTCAGTGCTTCCCATTCCTAAGGAAAAGGTTCTCAAGCTGAAAGACCCAGACTGCTGGCCCCCCTAGAGAAACCCACTTTATGTCCATGAGGGGAAGGGGCTGCTGGAGGAAGCAGAGGTCAGACTTTCAGTCTGAATCTCTGTGGAAATGCCTGCCTCAGTTTCCTTCAGTGTTCGGTAGACAGGAAGAAGCAGGACCCGGCCTGAGAGGGATGGCCTAATGAACAAACAGAAGGCCCTTCTGTACGCAAAATGTCATGTCAGTGCTTTAAAAGCTGTTACCAGGAATACGAGGGGCTTTGAATGGCAGCCTCCCTCGATGATGGCACCACCCTCCTAGAAGGGTTGAGCGGAGAAGGGGCAGGGTGGGCACTATGAGGAAGCTTGATTTCTCGGGGCTCATTGGCCGGCCCTGGCTCACATTCCCTGTGGGCAGAAAAAGTCATCTGGGGGGTAGAACAACATGGAATAATCCTCCCTAGGCTACAAGAGGCCGGGCTCAGAGGAGTCCTGGAGGCTGCCCAGGCGCCTCGCCGCTGAGCCATCTAGCCTGCAAGCCAGGCCACCAGCAGCAGCAGAGAGCTCCATTCCTGCCGGGCTGTAACTGGATGCCAGCATGCAGGAATGCAGAACCGAAATATCCAAGTAACGATGGCAACTGGGATTTGCGCGAGTGGATGCAGCTCAGCAACCTAAGCAAAAAGTGCAGCAAGGACTTTTCAATGAGACAGCCTCCTCCTCCTCCTCGGAATTTTTCAGGATCTGGACCCTGAATCAACAAGGGGTCTCCATGTAGCTCCCTCCCAGTCTCCAGGGAAACTATCTGCATCACTCCTCCTTCCTCATCCTCCCCCTGTAGGCCCATTATTCTAACCACCAGCTTCCTCCTCCCTCTTCTCTCTTCAGCTGAGGTTGGGAACCCCACTTTGACAGTTCCTGGTCTCAAGTCAGACAATTAGGGGATGTGTGGGCACCAGGAGGAGACATCTGGGTGTGGTTTCTATTTATCAAGTGAATAACAGAAAACATAGAATCCCTACTACAAATTATGTACAGCTGCCCTAAGCTAAAGATAAAAAACCTGCTGGCCAACAGAATTTCTTTCTGAAGTTTAGATTCTAGCAGCATGAAGTCCCGAGGCAGAAGTGGCTGGGAAGAGGCATGCAGGAGCACCTGGTTCTTATATTCATGAACATCTTGATAGTGGGGATGACACCAGGACCCCAGCAAAGCAGTGTTCATCCAAGTTCAGCTACTTTATGATTAAAACACTCAAGCACACCTTATGCCACCTCTAGGGTTAAGTAGGGGACAGCCAACCAACAAGTAGCAGAGTGACAAATAATGGGCCCTGAGTTTAGACACCATGCTTCCTAGATTGCCACCCAGGCTGAACACTCCTTCCCCACCCACTCCCAACTGCCCCTTCAACCTTTCCCTCTATGTCCTTGCACTACCTCCCAATTGTTATCAGCCTCATCATGCCGCTCTTGTCCCAACTGCCTGACCAGCAAACCTCATGGGCTTATCTAGGAAAGAAAAGGTAGTTTCACTTTTGTGGACATCAGTCTCTCCCTCCAGAAAATGGGTATGAGAGTGAGGGAAGAAAGTCTCCCAAATTTTGATTAATTTGTGCCAAGAGAACCTGGGTGAAAGAAGGTATTTGGCTTCTTATGTAATATAGTATTATATAATGCTAGATTGCATATCTATATATGTAATTATATCCATCTTTAAGATACAGACTGGCCCAGTTAAGCCAGCAGAACTCTTGGTCTAATCAGGCCTGCCTTACACAAGGAGTTGGTTCTGGATATAGTGTGCTAATGGTAATATAATTTTTGCTCTAGAACATGGCTAGTTTTCTGGATCATTGCTGATGCAGGGTGATACAACCCACTAGTGAGCTTCTCAACTTTGCCTTTCCCTCTGGCACACTCTCCTCCAATGACTCTAGACTTTTCTTCATAATTGCCTCATCCCCTCCTGAGCCTCCTGACTACCTTCCATTAACTATGGTTCCCTTGCCACTCTGCCTTGTGTATCACAAATCCCCATTTACTTCTCTCCCATGACAATCCCAAAGTCACTGATATATGCTCCCCCAACTTTTGTCCCATGATCACTGCCCCCCTCTCCAAAAACAGCCTCCTACCCAGCTGTTCTCCCAGTCCTTTATACTCAGCCCAGACTAGAGCCAAAGGTGTGCTCAGATTAGCTACAAACCTCATGGGCTCCCATTCCCACCCCCACACCCCTACACACACTCTTTGCAGAGCTCAGAAAAGGCCCCCTTTCCCTCCCACAGCTGATAGGAGGTTTGTTCATCTGTGGCTGCCCTAGTCTGGTTGCCAAGGAAACTACAGAATCTCCCTGGGAGCCTGGCTTGTCTCCTAGCAACCAATATCCCACATCCTGCATCTTACAAAACGTGAAAGAGAAGGAAAACCCTGAAAATGAAGGTAAAAATCAAAGAAGATGGATAGGAAGGGAGTATCTGGAGAAGAGCAAGCAGAGGGTGGATTAAAGGAACTCCCACGGGGGTCGCTGACATTGTAATAAGGGGAAGGCTGAAGGTTGGATTCCTCCGGTGCAGACCCAATGGAAAGCAAGGCCCCAAGGGATCTTGCATGGTCATTTAACAGAAAATGCAAGCTTAAACACACGGCAAGCCTTCTGAAGCCTAGAATGTGGAAACATTAACAACGCTAAAGATTATCCACCAGTAGTTTGCCAGAACTCAGTTGCACACACTGCAATGGAGTTGAGAGCTCAAGCATCTCCACAACCGCAGGCAAATACCCAAATTTCACTGTTTTTTTTTTT